GGGATCCAGATTATACCTCTCCATGTAAGTGTAGTAAAATTTCTTATGATATCACTTTTTCTAATGATTTAGCTTTATGTGAGCATTATCTTAGGAAACACAGTTTCCTAAGTTTTCCTAATTACACAAAACCAGTATGCTTCAAGAGTGTGCTGTCTAAAAATAAAAATGGGAAATAATATTAACTGATTATATGTAAATTAGAAGAATAGCTGTATGAGAATGTTGCAAAATTAGGGACTTAGTTGTACTGAGTTTTACAAAAGCTTATACATTTTCTTCATAGACTGTAATATTTTTAAATATTATACTATGGGATTATGCTTTAATCTATAATAATAACACATTATATTTTAAGGACAACTGTATATTTTAATCCTAGTGCATTAGAATATGAGTGAAAGAATCCAAATGACTTTACATTGCAATATGGACTGAAAGGAATTAAATAGGGAAAACATTTTTATAAAATGAATGATCATTGTTTCTATTGCAGATTTGATTATAGATCCTAAATATGTTTACTCAGAAATAAACCTTTCTAAGTTGATTTATTCTCTTGTTAGTTACTCAGTAGTGTAGACCACTGAGAGATCACTTAAGTCTTCCAAATGTTTTGGACTGCAACTCTCACAGCCCTTTTTTATTGTCTACAGCATTTAGGCGCGATGGAGGTTAGCTGAAGAATACCTGTGTGCTTGATACTAATGTAGGTTTTGACTGGGTTCATGCATTGCACTAAATCATAACAACATTTGTTTTGGATTTAGCTGTCTTCTCTCAACCTAGAACTGTAGATTGTAAACCATGATTTCTACATTAGAGACATATGTGAACTCAGCCTATTGTAGTTTATTTAACAAATGATAACAAATTTTAATCAGATTATACTATATGCACATAAAAAGTTTTACAAGTTGATGTGGTATTAGCTGTTTTTGTGTTTTAAGAGGTAAAGGAAAGGCTTTAATCAGATATAATATACTTCAATTTACACAAAGGACTGAAGTGATTCAGGATGCAGTTTAAAAGATGTGTGTGGTTTACTTCCAATTTAAACTATTGATTTAGGTCCAATCCTATTTGGTAATTTGAGTCAATTTGGAAAATCAGGTTGATTCAGTTTTACAAATCAGTTAAGAACATTCAGATTGATGATTTAATTTCAGTCAATGATCCAATTCATGAAGTTGCCTTCAAATGAAAACTCTGAAATGAAGCTTTATACCGCTTTAATATTTAGGGTACTAAAGGCTCTATACATGAACTATTATCTCCAAAACTTGGTATATTACTATTTTAGAAACATATTTCACACACTAACCACAGAAGTTTACCTGTACAAATTTAAAAGGAAAGAGATGCACAAAGTCCTGTATGGTTTATTAAACCAAGTATCCGCCTTTCCCCTTCATCTCTCGTGCCCACTTACATCTGAACAGGAAAACTGGTTTAGTCTCCAATTTCTAGACAAGCTATGAAACTAGGATAATTGTATTGTATCCTATGAAACATAGGATAATTGTAGACTTACCACTTCCAGGCTGCCAAAATCTGGATGACTGCTAAATGGCAGCAAAGAAATACAAAAATCTCTATTTGCTGCCATATCATAGTCATCTGGATTTTGCAGCCTCGATTGGTACACCTACTTGTCAATTATAATGCAGTAACACATACATTAGGATACAGCTAACAGAAGGTCTATATCATTAAAATACCTGCCTCCAGAAGTAAAGGGTACCAAAGACTACTTTCGCTACCCATTCCCCAAGCTGGTGTAATGGTTGAAAAGAAATACCTAGTTGAAGGAGAAATTGCAGAGGTGTGCAAAGAGAAACTTCCTAAAGAGAATGAAACGGGTGAGAGAAGGTACAAACCTCTCCCCATCCAACATCATATTCTGCCCTCACACATAATTCGGTTTGACATTGTCACATCTTTATACGAATCTAAAATGAAACAAATATCATCTTCCAGGCTTTAAGTCTGTCCATGCTTAACCTGGGAACAAGATCAATGCTATGTGGTTGGATCTGTTCTGAACAAACAAAATTGCATTGTAATGCAGTAAGCTTTGAATTCCAGCCTCAGGCAAAGGTGGAGAAGCTTCTTATTAACATTCTAAATCATTGCACCACAGTGAATGATGTAAAATGTACATTAAGAGATCAGCATTAATCATCAACTTCATAGATATTCATATACCATGTGGGAACGAATTGGATGCTGAAGTCTTGGCTCTGGTTGGAATAAAAGATGAAGTAATCATTTAGCACATAAAAGACCCATTAGAGGAATAGATCAGTATATGTTTATGTGTATGATCTGGTTCATATACTGCATTTAGCCATAGCTTCTTTAATTATGGTTTGCTGAATGAACCATAATTGGCTAGATTCACATATGATAAACCAAAGCTTATGTATGGACTGACTCTAACTCTTAATATTATGTTAGGGGTTCTGATCTTTGGACAATGTTGCTGTTCCCTTTTGTTGATTAGGAGCTATGGGCCATAGATTTACTTTGTGTCAGAATCCGACCTTCTAAATTTGTACTGATGAAAAATATAATAGTGAACTTTGAGTAATAGGAAGGGCAGCAGTATCACTAACATGTGGGCTAATTAAATCTTACCCCTATCCATGCAGTTCCTTCAGTGCTGGGACACCATGCTACACAGACTAGTAGCATCTTGTAAGAGACTCAAGACTACAAGGAATGGTAGAGGGAATTCTCTACTATATTTGATTCTCACTCACCAATAACTGCAAGCAAGCATTTGACCAAACAACTCAGGAACAATGATATACTTCTGATTATTCTCTAATTCAGGGGTCCCCAATATAGCATCCATGGCCAGCACATATCTGCTTTTTTTGTCCACTAGTCTCCCTGTCCCATCTGACTTTGTATTTTGTTAAACCTCTATGTGAATTTGAACAAAATTAAGTGGGAAGGTGAAATGTTGCAGAGCAGACAAGTGGCCTCTAACATAATCTCTACTTCTAAGAGGGAAGCTTAGCTTATTAGCTGTTGCTAGAGCAGAAAAGTGTGATATAAATCAAATCAATAAATCATCCTTAGATCCAAATTGGGAGAGGAGGAGGATGGCACTTCCTCTAATCCAGTGTTTCTCAACATTGGGAACTTTAAGATGTGTGGACTCAACTCCCAGAATTCCACATATCTTATGGTTCCCAAGGTTGAGAAACACCGCTCTAATGAGTCTTGCTGTATTTGTACAGAAAGTTTGGAAAATGACTACTACCCTCCAAGCTCAGTATCATCTCCTTTTGCCAGAAGCCTTGTAATGAGATCAGTCTGTAAATATGTGAACGCTCTAAAGAGAAAAAATAGGCTCATGAAAGGACCCCAAATATAAAGTTGTATATTCAGGAAATAAATCAGACATCTCCCAAAAACTTTTTTTTTTAAAAAAAATCATAAAACTGAGTAAACTGAGCACCAATTTTCAAAGTAACATTAATTTAGTTCTACATATTTGAATACCTTGTGTAATTTTAAAACTATAGATTATTGTTAGAATCACGTTAATATGTGAGTTATCAACTGAATCAGCTCAGTATGAATCATGTCAACATGGAAAGTTACAGTCATTTCTATGTAGTCAAAGAGATCTATCCTTATTTAATGGATCATCCAAGGTTTGAATGTTAAAAATTTTGGTTAAGAGAAACCCAGATTTTGGATGTGGTACAAGCCTATGGAATTTGGAATCATAGTCCAAACACTGTTTCCATGTTAAATGTAATTATACATTGAATTTGATTTCAAATATGAGTCTATTTCAAATATCAAGACATATTCCCACAATTTGAATAGCCATTCTCCCAACTTTTGAGTGCATATCACCTTACTGCTATGTTGAACCTATCTATATGCACCCATATGTACGCTGCTTACAGACCTCAGTTCCTGGCAAGCCTCAGTTTGCCACAAACTTGTTATCACCAGAAAATTCCAGCTATTGTGTCTGGCTGTCCCAACTGATACTTGAACAAGAAACCTTGCAGAGAGTGATACAAGAGTTCAGCTCTTTGATAAGCTAGATTTTTTGCAAGAACAAGAACTGGAACAACTGTTATGAAGAAGTATAATTGCAAAATGTGAGATTCTAGACCAGTGTTTCTTAACGTCGGCTACTTTAAGATATGTAGATTCAATTCCCAGAATTCCCCAGCCAGCAGATGTATACACAGACAATCAAATTCAAATCTTGTGCTTCTTTCTCCCATCTGTGCAATATAACAGTATGAGAGCTTCTCACTTTGGGCTGGAAGGAGCAATGAACCCCTGTGTATTGATATTGTAATTGACCAGTTTGGTGTCAGGCTTTTTGCCTGTAACCTTATCCAATCTAACCCTTGCATATTGACAGTGACAGATGTAGCAAACAGGGTGGGTAAGAACAGAGTTGGCTTAAGGCATTGCCTAAGTCCATACTTCCCAGGGATAATGCTAACAAGTCTTGCCAAACTATCCATTTAAGACTCCAACCTTCATCTATCTTCCCCTTGTGGTGTTGTCACATGTATGCCATTTCACTCTGCTCCCCAAAAGAGCTGATGCAGTAGAGCTATCAGATGGATAGAGGGTGATGTGTATTCTTTTTTTTGGGGGGGGGGCTTAGGCTGATTTTGCAATAAAGAGAAATCATTTTTTGAAATGATGTGGGCCCACCCTTTTCCTTTTTTTGTCTTGACTCTCTGTCTTGAGCATTGAGTATATAAGTGTGGCCCACAGATTGCTCCCCTCTGCAGTACGGGACTGAGTAAGCAAGGACTTCAAAGCTATGACTGGCAGAAAGTTAGCTTTGTAATATAAAGCCATCTTTTCAGGGCAAATAACTGCTTGGTTTGGTGAGAATTTCTATTGGGAACTGTTCAGGGAGGTACAAAGCAGGGTGTTTTCTTCTTGGACTGTTGTTTTCCCACACTATTGGGAAATCCCTGATGACTGTTTGTTTCTTTCAGCTGGTATTCTTAACACAACGGTTGACCCTGAAATTTTCCTGTTGAAATGGGCAATGAAAACAGCAGCCAAGAAAGTCAGGTGAGTATGAACGTGATTACAGAAAACCCTTTCTTAAAGTTACAAAATTTTAAAAGTTAAGGGACAAGATTTGTTGGATTCATAATGGATAGACAAATTTGATGCCAGTGGCATCAATGCATTGAAGGCTATGAATTGCAATTTGTGTGAGTGGAGTGAGGAGAGAGGAGAAATTGTTTGTATGTTTGTATGAAAGTTCCTAATGTAGCAGTCAGAGATCTACATCACTAATCTATATGAGCCAAAAGATCTAGTTAGTAATTTTTGAACAGAAAGAAAAGTAATTCAGAAAAGGCTAGAGATGTCCCATGCTGTGATTTGGCCAGTTTAGGATGAAGTAATGTTCATGTTGGGAGTGGTGGGGGAATTACTGGTTTGGAATATTTTAGATTCCTCTTCAAGGTTGGAGGTAATATATAGCCAGCAAGATACTAGTCAACATGGTAAGTTCCAAGGGCCGGGCAGTGGGGATCAGGCTGTTAGAGAATTAGAGTTGTGAAATGGCTGATGGATGTTCCTTGCTCTGTCCCATCAAATCTTAAGTTGTTTTGCTAACCTACCCTTCTCACCTTGTAGTTTGTGTACTGACTTCTCAAACCTACTCCTATGCCAACTCTATTATAAGTTTATGAAGTACATTGAGGGTAAAGTCACTGACATCTGTTCTGTATAACATGCCACAATAATTGTAGAATTTGTGGAGTTAGTGGGGACAATGTCTAGGCTTGTGGGATCAGCTTTAATTATTGTGGTCTTGTGTGGGTTAAGATTGACTACCTGTGCTTAAGACCCTTGCTCATGATAGTTAAGCGCTATAAGGCAGGGTGAATCCAGAGAATGGCCAATATCTCTTTGTGTGAAGGACTTAAGCCCACTATCTTGAAGGAGAAGGTGGTGGTGCAACCTCTCTTAAAAAGGCCATCCTTGGATCCTGACTGATGAACTTTAGTGGAAGAGAAACAGGGACAATATGACCAAACTGATTCTCTTAGTGGTCTTTGGCAACACAGGACTGCTACCAGAGAATGGTCGTGTGAGATTGGTGTTCAACCTATGGCTCTTGCATTGGAAGAAATTGTATTCTTTCTCCCTGTTGTTTTTATCTCCATTAAGTCATTCGATATTTGGAGTAACATCAGGGTGCTAAAGATATTCAAACCTATATATGCTTTCCATTTGAATCAAGAAAGATTGTGTAGAAGTCTGGATAGAGAGTGACAGACTGGAGAGTGACAGCCAAAAAATGAATGTTGGATGTGCTATGGGTAGATGGTTCTCAGGGCCAGAAACAAGGAAGGTTCATGTTCTAGATGGCACGGCACTCCCTCTGAATGAACTGGTATATAGCTTGGGGTGTAGTTTATCAATAGAGGAGCAGGAGCCCTATTCTGGCTGATGCACTACAAGGAATAAGATAGCCAAGATTTTCATCTCATTAGTTCAGATTTTGCACTGTTCAAATTCACTGATGATTTATGGTTTTCATATTTTAAGAGAAAGAAAAACGTCTTCCAATCATTTTTTCTACCATTCATATTTATTCATTTTATTTTTTCCTTTCTAAGCTATGGCACAAATGGGGTATCTCCATATAACCACCCCAGACACTTGATCACTTTTCCTATTTGGCATGTTTTCTGACCGAACAATATTCTTTTTCAAAGTGCAGTGGCCAGAAATGTACACAACATTCTACATGTTTATAACAAATATTGTTCCGTATGGAGTCACTGGGAAAATGGCCATTTATTTTCAAATTTCTTGCCCAACTGTTATATTTTTCATCATTGTCACACTATATGTTGATATTTGCATTGAACTATCTACTGGAAGCTCAAAATCTTAGGGTGGGGGGACGTCAGACATTATTTCCCATCAGCGTATTTGTGAAGTTAGATTCCTATGTGTTCTGTGTAAATTAGAATACAGAATGGTGTTTATTATAGGAAGTGAATGTTATTACAGAAAGCATCATCCCATAACAACAGAACATAACTGTAATCATAATCCAAAATGCTATATATTTTCCCCACCCATCAATTTCTGTAACTGCATTTTCTACATTAAGTAGTTAGGAAGAATTAAAGAAAACTGTGTAATTTTACTGATCTTTCTTTCACACCCACATACAAACCCACAGAGTGCCTGCAAGGCTTTTTTTACAGAATGTGAAAATTTCTATTGGGGTTTCTGAGACTGCAAGAGAAATTCCCCAGGTCTTTCTCAGCCATAGATATCTGTTTTTTTTTTTTTTTTCAGGTATTAGTAATGCTTGGGGATTCTCAAACTAGCAAAACTGTGTGCTTCCTATATTCTTTAATGTTGACATTGAAAACATTGGGCCTGCATCTTTCAGAGGAGAGAGAGCATAAAACATGTTGAATTGTTTCAAGGATACAAAGCACGGCAAGGTTGCTGTGAACTTAAATTATTATCCACATTGCAAATTGCATCAAAGCATTGGTTATGCATTTTTGAACAGGACTGGTTCTTTTACAATGATTAGAGAGAAGCTTAGTAAGTCATCACTGCAAGTGCTGGAAAGATTAATGGTGTGCTTAGATATGGCAATGCACTGAAAGGTTCGACATGGGTAAAAGGTAATGAACACAAACCACATTAAACACCTCCAGCCTCTGCAACACAATTTCTTCCTGAGGTTTTGTATTATTAAAAACTGTAATATATTGTAGACAATTAAGTTACAGTTCTGAATTTTCTAATAGTGGGACTTAGTTGTTTTCATGACAATGTTTTGGTCATTTGGTTTCCTTTTGGCATGCTATTACTCCCTTGTCAGTCCTCTGAGAGTATTTATGTACAGGATATTCAGTTAAACTATACTGTTCTGATGTATTTCATAATCTTTATTTAAGGCTAAACAGCGTGAATAGACAGACAGATAGACAGAGTGTTTATATATGAGAATCCAAAGAGTCTATGAGAATCCAAAGACTCATGAGGGTTTACAGTCATAAAAACAAATGATATTGATAAAAAGCACAATGAAAACAAATAATCTATAAATACAATTATCAAATGGTGCCCACCAATGTACTCTGTGATTTTTTTTTCCTTTTGGGGGGGGGGTTCCTTCAAGTCAGTGTTAACTCTTGGCAACTGCCAGAACAAGTCCCTGCACTTTTCTTGGCAAGATTTTGGAAGTGGTTTGCCATTGCCTGTTTCTTCCTAGGACTGAGAGAGAGTGACTGGCCCAAAGTCACCCAGTTAGCTTTGTGTCTAAGGTGGGACTTGAATTCAGGGTCTCCCATTTTCTAGCCTGGTACTTTAACCACTACACCAAACTGGCCTCCAATATACATATACCATTATAGAACCCAAAATTGTGTTCACACAGAAAGATTGATAGTGAAGTTCTAAATAAGTCTACTTGCAAAACAGCTTCATTGGTTTCAATTGATCAGTAGCAATGGAACTCAAACTTTTGACTAAAGAAACAACTTCAGTCTGACTGCCAGTATAGGACAATAACTATATTGTCTGCTGCAAACAACAATACTTAAACTCTTCTTTCCCAGATTATTAAGATAGCCATTTATCTACAGATGTACAGGCTGTTTGGTTTCAAAGCAGTTTGGCCTGCTCTGGGCAGTATTTTAACAACTGCCATGTGTTCCTAGCTGGCTACTTTAGCAGTTGTTTCTGAAATCAGACTCCTGACACCATGGGGATGTCCTTTGGTCAACTTCCCAGCATTCACCTTCAATCAGAAGCTCCTTACGGAGGAAGTGAGTCCTTCAGAATGAGCACACTGATATATTTAACAGATGAAGGTTTAAGCCTGTGCCAAACAGATTGCTTTCTCTGTGTAGCATAAAAATACAATGGGAGATACAATGACAATAAAAGGTAAGAAGGTCAGCTTTACTGTCTGTTTTACTATGATTTTTTTTTCCAGGGCTCCATCTCCCTGTAAGCACAGAGTTATTAGGAATGGAAACTTGGTGTAATTCATCCAAGCTGACTTCCAGCCAAGCCACAGAACTGTATCATGTTGCAACAACTGCCTTAAAAGGCTGTGTGTTTATAATGAGGAAAGTACTACAGGAAGAAGGCTGTTGGGGGAGGGGTGGGAGAAAGAATAGAGAGAAAGGACCTTGGTTAACTTAAGCCAATTAAGAATGGTTGCTAATAGTCCCACCCACCCTTCAGGCTTTCCAAATGCAAAACTTGAGTTCAGAACCTCTTCTTTTTTCCCCTTTTCTAAATGACAGTTAAGTCCTTGATGATTAGCAGGGAAATTTCAGAGACATTTGTCATCTATACACTGATATTGTCTTAAGAATGACAAGACTAGAAACTTAACTTTTGCAATTTGATGGATAAAAGGTTGTGTTGTATAAATCCAATTTTAATAGCATTTGTTATACTCCACTAGTAGATTTTATTGGCAAGATTCCTGCTCTCTTTGGCTCTGGGGTTATTTTTATTTAATAAAAAAGAACTTGTTTGATGATCTCTTGATGATTTGAAAATTTGTTTTGGGTATTTGGATTGTTCATGCTTGTTTTATTCTTGCTCCCAAAAGGATAGATTGCACATTATAGCAATTTATTTATTTTCTTTACACCACATAAGGATACATTTAATATTACTGTACTATAAATATAAAACCTGGTAATATAAATATTAATTCTAGGAATCATTACTTGCTCTTTGATTAATGTAATGTTTTTATGGAAGTGCTATTGAGATTATGGCTGTGTTCTCGTAATCATACTTCCTTAATCAACCCAGCTTTCTAGCTTCACATGATAGAGTGAATAATAAAGTAACTACATGGGATGAATCTTTACCACACATTAGCCTAAAATACCTACATCCTCAGTGCTGCCATTTACTATACATGTGTTGTGTGTATGTATGTGCATTATTTGTGTCATTAACAAAATGAAATCTCTTATAAATTTATAACAATTGAATGCTGAGTGGAAAAGTTCTATTTGCCTACCACTGGGCCTGCCCCAACCAACCAGACAATCTTCATACTTCTTCCCTGCGCCCCTCCGCCCCGCTCAACCAGGGTCATAGCAGTAAATCCAAAGGAAGGAATATGACTTTCCCTTTCTGCTATCTGAGGAACATGCTGGTATCTTAAACCCAGTATCTGGATTTAAGATACCTTCCAAGGCATATTACCAGATAACAATCACTCCCCCAAGACACAACTTGGCACCTCCCCAAAAATCTGCTTAAAATACTATTTATTTTATTAAGAACACAAAACAGCAAAGAAAAACATGGATAGGTGTTATGCTTAAAGGAAGAGATTAAGCTTCAGAAGAAGGAGTAGAAACAAAGGAAAAATAGGTAGACCCATCTAAGATGGTGATTAGACCTAAACAAAATTAGACCTTAAACAAAATTTAATTTAAACAAAAGAGGGAAATAGAGCACTTACTTTGAGCAGGAAATAAAACCAGATTTAATGCTACTCTAGTTACTAACCACACCTAGAAAATCTATGTGAGTTAAATTTCTTCTTGCATCTTAGAAGATTTCATCCCATTGCTTTAGTAGCAGTATTCTTAATTGGTATGTGTATATATCTAAGCACAATACAAGTTTTAAATCTGTCTACCTCCCTCAGCAGTCTGCTGTTCCCAGTGTAATTCAAAAGAACCAAAATCTCCAACAAATTTATTGCTTGCTGTTTCATCTCAAGGAGGGAAGAAATACTCTTGCTCAGGAATTTAGCAAACCAGCCCTTATAGGCATATTACTAGAGGTAGAAGGGATTAGTCTATAGGTCAGTTGTAGATAGGATAACAGGAATCTTTATAAGCTTTCATTACTTGAGGTATCTGTTACACAAAGGGTGTTTGTGTGTGTGTGTATAATATATACACAATACAGTACAATCATTGAAGAATTACAGAATGGAAGAAACTATTCTTTCAACTCACCTTCTAACACTTCATTTAAGTGAGTGATGTAATAGTAGCTTCAGATCACCTGTCCTTGCAGTTTCACTCATGAAGGATTTCTTGCAATTTATACTTCAAAACCCGAATGCTGCTATAATCAAGAGGTGTTAGTGCAATGAAAGATCTGTCTTGTTCTCCATTTTTAAAAGGATGCCAACTATTTCAGTCTAATTAAAATACAAGTTATTATAGTTTATATCACAAGGTATAGAACATAATAGTCTGCTTCACACATAACACTAACTCAGAAACTAGAGATGGGCAACATTTTAGGGCTTGGGAGCTGCAGAAGTCTATCAGCCTCCCAGGGGACTAAAGAAGCTGTCCAGTGTCATGGTGATAGCTCTGCAGTGGGGGAGGGGGAGTGTTTTCAGTCTCGTTTTGGGGTTCCTTAGGATTTTAAGGTTTGGGATAGAAGTGAAAACTAGCAAACTCCATACGCACCCTAACCCTTGAAACCTTAAACATGGCCTAAACTTACCGTATTCAGGACAGATGTTGGGGTGCTTCCCATGTTTAGTTGTTTATAAGGAAATGGAAGAAATCACACCACCTGCAGGTTACTATGTCTGCCATAAACCTAGAAGCCTCCTATAGCCCACGGTTCTCAAACAATAGTGTTTTAGTTCATATACAGTATAACACTAAACTAAAGGAAAGCAAAGCAAACCATACAATGGCTGAATATGATATGGGTGATTAAGCATATCCTCTAGTTAAGCTCAATCCTTTATCACTACATGGTCATTTCCATGTAATTTCCTTGACAACCGTTCAGAAGAGTCTTTTTCCATGATGCTTTTTGTCTTCCCAGTCAGGGTTACAGCTCTGTAATTCCCTGGTAGCCTTTCATCTCTAACCAAACCCAACTTGTTTAGCTTTGAAGCACAGAGAAGGTTGGCCAGGTATTGCCACCTGCTATTCACAATTGGATTGGATGTAGTCAGAATTATTGTTCTGTGGTATGGGTTTCAAAAATGGTAAGTCATGTTGAAAGGGGAAAATTCCAACCAAATGCTTCTCAGATACCTTGTGGTCAAAACTGTATCAATTCAGCTGTCCATGGTTAGAAGGAAACACCATAAACCTATGGTAGTCTAAATGCAAGTGTTAATCCAATGGGAATTACAATTCAAAATAAAATATAGAAGCACTGAGTCCAATGTAGAAGCACTGAGTCCAATACAATTAGTGTCTTTACTTATTTTATTGTATAATCATATTTTGTACACATATGATTCTTAATGTTTCAAGTTTATTATTACAATGGCCTAAGAAATTCCCTACTGAATTCCAACAACTGAAAGCTTTCTTTGAGACTGACAGATCATTGTTTCATGTTTTTGATCAATGTACCCGAAAGTTTGGAGGAAAATATGAAAATATAATCAAAATGCAGCACTTGTCTGTTGCAGCAAAAACAGAAAGTCTTGTGTTGTATGAATGTACAGTATCTTTACATTTAGAACATTTAAAAAAAGTTTAATCTTTAAGATGCTGCAAGCATCTTGTTATGTGGGTACTATTGGCAAATTATTCTTCAACTTCATTCTGAAGTATATTTTTTGTCATTTTAAAAAAAAATTTTGTTTGAAACACAGCTTTTTTCCTTTCTGCCATACTGATAGATTTCCTGATCAAAAGGAAATGTTCAATATATATGAAAAAGAGATAAGAATACCCCTATGGGCCAGCTAAGAGCATCATACAGTTGTTCTCCCAATACCACACCACAGTTCCAGATTTATTTTTCTTTGTGATTATTGGTTTATTCATTATTTCTCTTTAGCCAGAGTAACATTAAGACAGAACATCTATAAAGGATGCAATTTTTATTTTGTAATGAAAAAGAAGTATTCATTCTGTTGTTTGTTTGCTTTTTAATTAAAATTCATGCTTTTATTTTCCTTTTCCAGGATGTCCCTTCAGTTCCAAAATCAACCGAGCCACTTAGTAGTGAGAGAGAAATAAAAAATAAAAAGTCAAGGAAAAAGAGCAGAGACAAATCACTCAAGCAAGATGACTTAGATACCTTACCATCAGATTCTACTGTTTCATTATCACCACCAGATGATGGTTTCTCTTTAACTGCAGAAGATACAAGGTAGGCAGAAGATATTTTTTACTTTGTTCATGAAATAAGTAATTGGAAGGCATAATGCATTTGAAAAAGTTGGCTGTTGCCCAGGAAGCTGTTGCCTAGGAGATCTACTATAGTAACCCAATTAACATTACAGATTAAAAGTCACTTACTACCCAATTAACTTCCTTTTCATATTCATGGGCAATGCAAGAATGTAACAGGATTTTAATACCATTTCAGTACATGCCTATGATGAAGTAAGAAATTTTACCCAATGTAGCACCTGGGAATTCAGGAATAGGATATCATTCTTTTGAATTCATCAATAAAATAGTAATCTGATATATGTGGTACTACAAACTTTGCTATTACTTAAAATATACCTTCATATTTATATATTAGTTTCCCAGGTGGCAGTTAGCTAAGGTTGCATATTCTGTGCTGTAGGGTTTACTTCAGTCATGCAGTGTCTGGGGGTTTGGTCTAGCTTTCCTTCCTGGAAAGCATGACATTCCTCCAGGTAGGAGGCTTCAAGCAGAACGTGAATTGGAGGGAATGAATAATTTCCAGCAATGCATAAGAGCAAAGGTCAGCAGATTTTTCAGCTAGTCAGCATGACTTCCCATTTATGGGGATATCGCTGTGAGGGCTGAGGTAGGAACCAGCAGAACTAGAGGAGCCTATTATATAAGCATACAAAACCATTTGGCTTCAAGAATTCCAAAAGGATTAACCAAGTATCTGTCAGTTGGGAAGGGCAGGAGGAAGAAGTCACAAGTTTAAACCCTTTATATTTCTAGTGGTATAAAAGTAATTTAGATCTTCTCATTGACAGTAGGCAGTCAACTGTTTTGCACAGCTTTATTCTTGTCAGCCGTCTCTGTGAGTCTTCTGCCAAATTTTGCTGAAGAGTCAAACTAAGCTATGAAGTGTCAGAAAATCCCAAGTCCAGGGTGAGAAGTTGGACAGATTGATTTCCCACTCCATACCTTCATCACTATGGGAAGAGAGCCAATGCCTAGATTTAAAAAGGGAGGGGAAGACTTAAAAGTACATTGATGCAAATCACAAATGTATGACTCTACAGTAATAATATTCTAAGGGAAATCGATTGGATGCCAATTTGATTTTCCCATTTTAAATTTGGTATTATGAATCGTGAATGTGTTTCTTTTTCCACAACCCTCTTTCTTTTTTTCTGACAGAGGAAATTGGCCTCCAGTGTCTGACTTGAAGGAAAGGGAGTCCTACCAACCCCCAGCTCCAGATAACCTTCTTCTTGCTGGGATTGATATAAATGAAGAGTTAAGGACCCAGAACTCTATCCTAAACAGGTATAGCTAATTTGAGAAAATATTCTTGTTTGTTTTTCTGTGTATTGATGGATTAGCCTCTTGCTTATGGTTTCTAAAAAAATACATCCATAGGTGAGTAAGTTTCTTCTGGCTTTTTGAACCTCTCTTACGTAGTTTTCGATTGTTTATTAGATTTGGGTTTTCTGGATGGCAGTGTGCAGCTTGAGTTCTGCATGTTTCTGAAGGCTGGCTGCTCAGTCTTGGTTTTGTTGTCTTTTTTTTCTTTTTTAATTGTTCTGTCTGTCCAACACTGGTATAAGAAGAGTAAAATGCATTAATGAGAAAATACAGTACAAATATGTTAGCTTATTGAGACCAGAGCTTTCACACTTTCATAACGTTAAATAATATAAAGCAAAGTGTGGAAACGTTGCAATTGGAACAGAGTTTTGTTTTGTTACTTCTGTCAGTCTTCAATTGTGAAAGAATTCTCAGGCTTAAAAACTCACTTATTTTGCAAATGTGTACAATTTCTGACACACATTGCTTATGTATAATGATAAATAGGTACAGTTCAATACAATGATAAATTCTCCTTTACAAGCAACTTTGCAAAGCCAAGTGATCTAATGATCTGAGTTTCAAAAACCCAAGTTTTTAAAGACACAATAGCCCCCTTCACATGTTAAGCGTATGAAGTAGGGATAACATATGGAAAGAAGCCACTCTTTCTTCAAGTTGAAGAACTTATCTGTCCCTCACCTTCTAATAGCTAGCTGGACCATAGATGTTTAGAAAGGGAGGTCTTGATGCCTCTTCAGAAGTTGAAGCCATGATTCCTTGTAGGCTTTCCTTTTTGGCCTGAATTCATACTTGGTAGCAGCTGAGGAGCTTCATAATGTACATAATGAGGCTGAGTTTGGTGTCACCCTACTTGTATGTTGGAGTTATCACCAACTTCTCTTAGATCCTAAGGAAATCTTAGGAGACTAACATTGTTAGTTGATGTTCTTTCCCTTTCATATTTCAAGAGGCATAGTATCATTCTTCACATACTGTATGTAGGGAAGCTGTGCCTTTCCAGACATTAGCATATCAGCATAGCTAATGCTGACGTGTACTGGGAGGTAAAGTTCAGCATCTTCTGGAAACCACTGGTTTCCAGTCCCCTGCACTAGATAAAACTGTCTACTATTTTAATGCCATGCTAATCTGGGTGTGCATACAATATTTGGAGAAATTAACCCAAACATGATGATATTCAATTTTCCATACTATCTAAAACCAGACACATGGATATTCCAATAGATTCTGACATCATCTAGCTGAATGTTTGCAACTTGCTAAATTATGTTAGTGTGATTTTCATAAGTTGAATGAACATGAGGAACTGGATTGAAATATAGTATAAAAGGAAGCTTGATATTAAGTGCATTGTGATTGAAGCGTGTTTACCATACTTAATTCTCTCCCCACCTGAAAATCTGATTTGGTAAGTAGATCTGTTCTATCAAACTGCAGTCAGTATGGGACCAGACGGGGCATAAACTTTTAAATCCATACTATATTCAATATGTTTGTCCCTCCTAATGTATTTGGACATTCTACAAAATATATAAAATTAGGAGCAGACATATTCTGGCCCATCCTATTTTTGAAACCTTAGATTTCAGCTTGGAATGGATTTATTTGGCAGCGTGTTTCACTGATTAGAATCAGAAGCGTACAAAGTTATGCAATTAACATGAATTTGGACTTGGGTTTTTGTTGTTATCTTTTTTATTTATTAACATCTGACATTATTACAGTTTGTATTTTATTTGGAGACTGAGAGGATTCTTTTCTCTTAAAGATAACATACAGATCCTTAGAGTAAATAAATGACTACATTCTACATCCTAATTTCCTTGTTACTAGGCTTTTCAACAACTCTTATTTCTCATTAGTAAAATACACTCTGGCATGTATATTCTTCAGATTTACTAGGTCACTTGCCAACACATCCTTTTTTTATTTTTAACACAATATATAAATGCGGTAAATGAAAAGCAGCTCTTCTCACTTTCCAAAGCCTTAAGACATGATCATTCTTGTTAGAAATATTTCATTTTTGCTACTCAGTAGGAAAGAACCATGGATTTAATAGGATTGGTGCAGTAGTATTATACCACAAAAGAAAGAAGAGACCAGTTTGTACATACTCTTAAATTATTGTTATTATTATTTTGTAAGTAGATACATGCTAGGGAACCTTCCAGACCTACTCCAGAAACCTAAGTCAGTTCCTTATTTTTTTAAAAAAAAATGGAGGCGAATAGGCATAGTTCGTTGATGGTGTTGACATTTGTATTTCTTCAGATGATTATTGTTATTATATTATTTCTTAGTTTGAGTTTAAAATTTTATACTCAGTTTTTTGAAAGCACACAGGCCAATTGCTGGATGTTTTATGAGTATTTTCCTTGTCTGTATTGTGGTAAGCCAACAGCTTATGGAATTCTGAAAGTCTTGCTAAATTTCTTTCCACCATTCCAGCTATTACATCCAGGTACAATTGCATAACAGTGTAGGCTATATTTGAAAGTAAATGCATGTTTGCATGGCAAATCAAACTTTATGTGCAGCATAATTTGTTTTCTATTTGTTCTCATGAGGCACTTCAATGTATTTAAACATATTTCTACACACTCAAATGGTAAGTACATAATGAAATGCCTGGCTGATTATAGCATATATTTCAAATGAAACAGCAAGGACATTTTTTGAATAAAGACATAAAAATTGATCTTGACTCCTGTTTGTTCAAGAATAATTGAGAGTAAATTGAAATTAAAGGCAGCAGCATCAGCATATCAAATAGCCAATAATAGCAATGCCTGTCTCAGCATGTGATTCAGGATTCATCAAGGTGGAGACTGCTCTTGGTTTGTTCAATGATGTGCCATGAGTCACACTGCAAAAACTGGGTGAGGCCAGGACAAGGAAGTAGATGTTACCAGGAAGAAACTAAATTAAAATTAGGTTAATTAAAGATTCTAAACATGATGGTTTCAAATGAATTAAATAATTTCCCCTTCAGTTGCATTAATAATTATAATGTAGTGGTAATTTTTGCAGTGGCTCTGGGGGCTTCACCCAAGGCATGAAGTTCTGGGGTCTCTTGTACATTCTAATCACAAATACTAGATATAGAGTTGTTTTGGTTAATATATGATCATAGATCAGGTCTGTACAGTTTGGGACCTACTAAACTGACTGCATCTCCCCAGCCAAGTACTGTGGCCACCTACTTTTTTGATGGCTTTTTTACTGTATTTTTGAATTCTAGGAAGACAATGAAAAGAGAAAGTTCACTGAATTCCTAGTGAGTTATCTTACAGTGCTGTAATCTGTATTCAATTTGATGTTTCATAACTTGCTTGAACCTGAACTTGATTGTTACCTAGGCAGAATACAGTATCCTCCATTTTTCCAGAGAAGGTACCAGTAGAAAGTTTGCATTCCCAGCTACTGAAATGCATCAGTATTCATAAAACAGTTGCACATAAAGCACATATGGGGAGTCTGATCACGGGGAAGTCCAAATGGAAGGATCTGACAGCAAGTATAGGCCTATGAGATCTAGGCTGCAAAAATCTAGACTACAAGATTGCAGCAAAATGTTACCCTGAGCTTTGCTGCTCTCTAATGATCATCTGTACTTTTGCAGGCCAGATCTGCTAGCTGTGAGGAGAACTGATGTGAATTGACAAGAAGCAACTGATCAGTCTCAATTTATGACCTAAAGTTCACTCAGGGATGGTGGTAGGGAGAAGATAGATAGAAAATGACTACCGAATTACAGAAATAATAGAGGCTGAAGGCTGTCTCACTGGGACTGAATAAGTCAGAGAAACATGTAGAATAAGAATCAGAATGTCATTTGGCCAGGCTTTCTAGTACATGAAATTAGGTAGCATTTTAATTTTTATTTAGGGTAAAATGACATACAGTATCAGGAATTGGTAAGCATCCTATGCATTTGCCCAGAATTCAGTATTGCTAAATTCATTGGGTTTTCCATAGTAAATTGGTTTGGGATTTTAGCCATAATTATTAAATACAGAAAAGTGCAACACAGAAGTCTAAACCAGCTCTCCCAAACCCCGAAAGGTATTCTGGACTGTGGACCTATAATTGCCAGAATTTCCATTGGAGAATTTTGGGAGTTATAGTCACTGCATACTTGACAGGTACAGACTGAGAAATGGTGACCTAAATTAAACTTAAGTGAAATTATCTTTGAAATCCAGGGGCATATGGTCAATCCATATTACAGGTTTCCATCTAAAATTCAGTTCTGCTCTAAAGAATTTTCTATGTTCTGTACTCAATTCAGGATTTGTTTTAAGTCTGTCATGGAACAGGTAAACCAACAGACAATTCAATAAATTATTTACAATGATCTACAGAAAATAAATTCACGTATTTAACACAATATTAGTGCCAAATGCTACAGAAGTATACATTTGCAGAGATTTTCTAATGATTCTCTTGCAGGGGTTTTATATCATTGATGCCTCTGACTTCTTGCCTCATGAAAGCAGACAGACAGCTTTCAGTGCATGTGCATGCATAGTTTTGAAACTTCTGTGATGTAGAATTTATTGCCAATTTGAAATGAATAAATGTTTCCATTGTTGGCAGCCTAAATAATGAAGGCCTCTGTAGTAACACTGCTGAAGAATCAACCAGTGAAAACACTGCTGTGGCATATCCAGATGTGATGGCACTAGAGAATAACCTGCACAAGAGAGACTCCTTGGAATGTGCTGAAGGAGGAGGAAAAGATCAAAGTCAACATATGACAATGCTTTCTGAGCATGGTGAAGAATGCACTGCACTAAGCCTTGAAAGCAGCCCCGGAGGCTTGCCTGCCTTTGTGTCATACCCTGCTATTGTGAATGAGAAAGACACAAGAATTGAACCTCTGGGCAGTGGAACAGATGCTGAACATCATGCTACTACTTTTGCGAGAGAGTTTGAGAAAGATCCAAGTATCCCCGCTTTGGGACAGATTCCTTCATCAGATTCTATTCGGACACCAGGACCTGAAACTGAGGAAAGCAACTGCAGTGAATTAGAACCATTGCAACAGAGCAAACTGTTGAGTGAAAGAAGGGAGACACACATTACCCTGTTGCCTAAGAGTGAGAAAGGCAGAGATTCTTATGCTGCTAAAGAAATCAGACAGGAGACTGAACTGGAAGTGAGTCACAAGGAGGAGGCTGTAATAAAGCCAGTGGGACTGAACACAGGTAGTGCAGACAGCCTGGTAATGAAAAGAGAAAATTGTATTCCAAGTAATCTCATAACAGGAAGTTCAGACACTGATAAATATGGAGCAGCTGGTATTGATCAGAGCATTGTTGAGTTCAGAGGTGTCATCAGCGAATATAGCAACAACGAAGCAGTGAGCAGAGGAGATAAACAATTCCAAACGTTTCCAGAAAAGAACCCTGAGGTGCTTGGGGATCATCCCACTGTATCCAGTTTGTCCTCAAACACATCAAACCTGTCTCCGCTAACCGTGACAGAACAACCTACCAGTGATCCTTCATCTGAAAAAGAATGGCTAGAAAAGACCATAAGTGCAAAACCAGATATCCATTGTGTGGATTTACCAGTTAGCCTGGAGCCTCCTGATGTGTCCTTGTTGCCAGAAATAAAGAACAAGACGCAAAAGGCAAATACTACATCTGAGGACACAGCGGAGCAAATGAGTGATAATGAAATCAAACAAGCTGAATGTGTGAGCAGAGGAAATACAGCCCTAGCTGACACAGAAAATGTTGTGTATATGGTGAAGGAAGAATCTGTTGGGGATAAACTGCTGTTCCTTGAGAGAAGGACAAGAGATTTCACAAGTGAGAACGATCTTGCTGAGCATAATAAAGAAGAAACTGTAGTATCTGAGAAACATGAACACACTTTTTCCGGAAAGGGAGAGGATGGATGTCAAGAGGTGCCAACCTCAAGCCAGGTTATACATGAAGATGTAAACTGTCCCCAAGAGACACCACTAACCTTTGATATTAACTCAAGAAAGGTCAGTCCAGATGCTACCTTGGATGATTATTGGTGTTCTCAAGTAAATAGCTTAGAAACCAATATCAGTGGCAAAGTTTTAAAAAAGAACCTCAATTCAGAATGTAATTTGAATATACCCAAAGATCATTCACCTGAATTGGAGAACTTGGAGCAAAAAACCACAACCACAAATGAAAAAGAAGTGGCTAGCCTTGGTTCAGCTGAAGTACTACATTTACAAAGAAAAGACAGCTTGCAGAGCTGCGATCTTTTAAACTCCAATGTAGAAGATATGCAGCTCTGCTTTCCAGCCGATAAAAAGATAGAAGATGTACATGGTTCACTGTCTCTGCACTCTGAAGATAATGCCACTGTGCAAAATAAAAAAGAGAAATCCTGGGAACAGCCGTTTGCTCAAAAATCTCAACCAGAATTGGAAGACCAATCTATGGATAAAATAAAATCTGAAAGCAATGCCTCATCTGCAGAAATAATTCCAGTGCCTAAAACAGAACCTGAGTGTCAGAACTTAGATGAACAGGCTAGAAGTGCTGAATGTGTTGCATCTGAAAAAACAAACATCCTAAATGATGAATCCCATTTTGAAAGTAAGAGATGTGCCTCAACAGCTGGCAGTGACCCAAACTCTGTACCTGTGGCTACTGTTGAACAAAGCAGTGCTATGGGGAAGAATGATAGTAATAAGGCTAGACAGGAGGAATGCAAAACAGGGATAAAAAAAAAAGGAACTGACACAACTTTGGCACAAGAAACCCAGACCAAACTGGGCTCCATACAGCAAGTGCAGCTGGAACAAGCAACCGAAGAAAGTGACCCCAGTATAAAACATGGTTATTCTGGCAGCCCTTTAGTATCAGCAGTTGAAGCAGAAACCAGTCCCCAGCCACTGAAGCTTGGAGACTTACATGATAACAGCATAAGGGCAAACAATTCTCCACTCAAAAGCAATGATTGCAAAGAATATTTGGAAACTTATCCCAAAGAGACTGTGGAAAACCAACAGATGGTGGACATTTTAATGCCATCTCCCAAAGTGCAGTCAAACAAAACCCCAAAGCCCTTTGGCTTTGTCGGCAGGGCAAGCAAAGAAGAACAATGTATTTCAAACACAGAAGATAAAGACCTGGATCATGATGGTCTTCAAACAGTTGCAAGTTCCCATGGGCAGAACTCTAACTGGACATCTCCTGAAAGGGACCACCCACTGGAATTAAATAATTTCAATGGCCATGGGGAGCTTGAAAAAAGTGAACTACAAGCTGAAGACAATCTACACAAACTCCAGACAGTACTTGATGGGCCAGAGACAAAACCAAATAATCTGTCAGATGAAAATGCATCTTTAACATGTATTTCTGAATTTGTGGGAAATGCCACACAAAACAACAACCTGCCAGATGTAATAAACCCACCGGTGAATGAAAGTTGTCTTAACAAAGAAACCTTAAACAACTTCAAGCAAGAGATTTCTAATTCTCTGTTTTCAGATGGGGTTTTTGAAGGAGTAAGCCAGAGTGATACATTTGCTAAAGAATCTGTCACAGCTGAACAGTTGGATGGCTTATATAAACTTTCAGACAGCAAACACACAAGCAATACTGATGTTACAGAGTATATTCCAGTGACACAGAAAACTGCTACTGCTGATACTGAACAGGCACAGACCCTGCAGGAGAGTTTAACTTGTGTAGGTGAACATTCTAAGAACAATGGGACTGATTTTAACTTACTGAGCAAAGAACCAGAACTGGCAGAACAAAGCTTACATACAGAGAAAGAAGAGCACCTGAATTTAGTAGATGAAACCATTCTGAAAGATGAACAAGTAGGTTGCAAACAGGACTTAACTTTCCTGCCTTCTGAAAATACAGGAATGGATGAACGTTCTCCTGAATTACCTGATAGCCCAGAAATTCCTTTGAGTGATACTGGGCATAAAACAGATAATACTGAAAAGGCTGAGATTCTATTTGCTACTTCTCAAGCAGAACTAACATCTTTCTCAACATCAGCACTACTGAATGATGGGCCTAGCCAAGTAAGCCACCAGCCTACAGACTGTGTGTATCATGGTCCTGAAGATGAATTACAAAAAGGTGAGCCAGAAGCTGTGGCATGTCAAGATGTCTTAGATTCTGCTACCAGTTTGCAGACTGCAGCTGCTACACCCATTTACTTAGATGATGCTTTTGTAGAGAACAGCACAACTGATCAAAGGAGACCAGAAGTAATGAATTTAGACAACACTCCTTCAGAAACCATCCCAGGGAAAGGATCTGGCATTCCAGGCAAAGAGCTCCTTTCAGAAGAGTGTATCTTAACCTTGCAGGATGCTTCTGAGATCAAGCAGTTTGAAAGAAATTTGTCACCATTTAATTTCAAGAAGCTGCAGGCTGAGATCTCAGCAATTAAACTAAAAGGGGATAAAAGCGATGTAAACTTCAAAGCCCAGCAGTTTAACAGCTCAGCAGAATCTCTACTCAGCCTTTCAGGCTCAGAAAGGAAGCTTTTCAACCTTTCATCGTTTGATAAGCAAGCAGATTGTAATGAAGACACTGCAACAAATATCAGTTGTGACGATAACAAGCACAGTAAGAATGAAGAAGAAAGCAAATGTGCTTTTATAGAGAAATTCAACATCCCCAAGATGGAGGTAGACATTCCCAAGCAACCTGCAGCAATAGCTGAAAAAGAACAGGAAGTTTCATCTTCCAGAGCATTCAGCATTGGCGTTTTTGATTTTAGGAAACATATTAGCAAAATATTTGAACAGGCAGTACCAAATTCCTTGCCTGCAGACTTGTCTCACCTTGCCACTGAACAGAGTCCAAGTGAGAGGGGAACCCCAGTGGCTAAAGAAACAGAGGTTAAGCAAGGACTTGAAGAAGTTGATAAAAGCAGTGAAAATGGAGAGCCAGAGAATGACTGGAAAACAGAAAAATACACATTGCCTTCAGAGACTGAACTTTGTGATAGAGCCACTAAACAGAAAATAGCACGGGAAGGGGAACACACAGGAATGCTGGCAAACAGTCAGGAATACTGTTTGCCAAGTGCCTTTTCAGAAAAAATCCCTATCCACAAATATTGCTTAAATGAAGACTCTCTTGCAACTTTCCCCAAGTTAGTTGAGAAGGTGGATAGCTTATGCAGTCATGAAATGAAGGCAGAGGTAAATGACCATCTTCATGCCTTAAGCAGAGATAGTGCTGAGAACCAAGTGAACATAGAAAAAGTAGAGTTTCAGTCTGGAAGTTCTGGAAGCCAAGAAACAGAAAATCTGCCATCTTCTCCTAAAAACGAAGAGCCTTTAACAATTCCTGCTTCTACAGAAGTTGTTCCAAATTTTGATGCAAATGCTGCTGCTGCTGAAGTAAAGGAAGGTAACTTATTTAGTCTGTGTAACATTGAAACAGATGAATCTAAAGAACAGTTAATATATTATGGAAATAAAAACACTGACAAGGGAAATGGGGAGAACAGTATTAACCTAAGCAAGATTTCAGCATTGCCATTTCTTCTAGATGATCTTGATGCTCATAAAGAACAAAGAGATCAGTCCAGGATATTATCTGATGAAAATCCTAACAACTTTTCTAATGAACATACATTACAGAACAAAGCAGTTACAGTACTGTATACTTTAGATGGCAATAAATGGTTGCAAAGTTCTGTAGATGTTGCAGAGGAAGAGAAGACACAGGACACAGCAGAACACAAGCTAATTACTTACTTCAAAAATGAAGTAAATCCTGATCACTCACCAGATGAGTCCAAATCAGGATCCAGCAGTGCTCAAGAGAGCTGTAAGGAAAAAGCAAATGACATCAATTTGAGCACACCAGAAGGACCAGGGTTTTCTACTGATATCCCAAAAGCAGGTACTACAAGCACACTAATCACCAATGACTGTGACTCAGTTTTGCAAGCTAGCATAGACATCCAAAGGATTGATGTAAAAAGTCATTCAGAAACCCTTCAAGGGATAGAACAAACTGTATGTACAGATATGGAAGTGGCTTCTTTAAATCAACCCAAAGAAGAACCTGTAAGTTTTCAAGATGCCCAGGAAATCGTATCAACCACTTCACTTTCTGAATTGGAGCAAAGCTTTCCTAGTTTGCTTGAAAACATGGCAACAGAAGAATTACCCCCTGAAAGGTATTTAATTTCAAATTAACTGTAAAAAGAATTCAGTATATTGATGTTCAAGCAAGATAGCAATTAGGGAGGATAGATCAAGTAATTTTTTTAATTAAATAGAACTTTGTTTAGCATGTTTTATCTTGCAGCAGGGACAGCCTACTTAGAAACAGCCCCATAATTCTTCATGTGAAATTAATGAAAATACTGGATTTTAAGGAAGTAATGCCACTTTTTACAGCTTGGGAGATGTAAAAATGTCACTTTTTTCTGAGTTCTAACACTTAGGCTATAATTCAATATACACCTTCCAGACAGTAAGCTTCCCTGTAGAGCCACTTTGGTGTAGTGGTTAAGTCATCAGGCTGGAAACTGGGAGACCATGAGTTCTAGTCCTGCCTTAAGCACAAAGCCGGCTGGGTGACCTTGGGCCAGTCACTTTCTGTTAACCCTTGGAAAGAGGCAATGGCAAACCACTTCTGAAAAGCCTTGCCAAGAAAACTGCAGGGACTAGTCCAGGCAGTTTCCAGGAGTCAACTCTGACTCGAAGGCACCAAAAAAAAAAAAAAAAGTTTCACTGAACTCAAAGGGACTTATTTATGAATATACAATTTTAGGGTTCAACAGGTATATCATTATGGTCTCTCAGTTGTCAGTCATATTCTAGTAGCTATAATCAGACAGTTCTGCTTTATTAAGTGCAGTTTTCTTTATTAATACAAGGTCTTTCATATAAGGAAAAGGTTGACCAGGAATATTTCTGTTTGCTATAGTATAATTCACCTAGATTACTCAAAATTGTCTTCCAATGTTCTCTGGTAAAATGTCCTGTTTATTTTCATATAACATAGAAACAAGAATTTCCTATGAGATTTGATTAACTTAATTTTATTTAAGATCTTAATTTATATGGCATAATATTGATATACAGATGTATGGGATCTGAGGTTTGCATGTTTATTTATTTATTTAGCAAATTTATATAGCTATAAATTGCTGACTTACATATAGCATGTTCAAAATCATTCTCTCACAGAGATAGTAGCTGAATTGTTAATACCTCACAACTGGGGAACAAATTAAGCAGACTACCCATCCTGTTCTCTAGTGTTTATGTTCACACATTTTTTTCAATTTTGAACTGAATCATTGCTTACTGGATCCATACAACAAACTGAAATGTAAAGTAACCATATTTTGGTTGAGTTCTTTCAGCACCCTGAGCTAACCCCCTTTTAGCCTAATATTGTTCATGAATCCAGCCATTGTTTCATTTCTTCCTCCCAAATTCAGAGAATCATGGATCAAATGGGAAAAAAATCTTTAATTAACCTCCAACCCTATTTTAAAGAAATTTTCTAATTAGACTTGCACCAATGACTCATTTTAAGATCTAGCAATCCTTTTATTATTTTAAATATATTTTTTAGGGTTTTCTGGATCCTAACTTTGAATCTGAGGAAAAGTTCTGCATGAATTATTATCATATTTGAGCCATAGGCTTTCTTCTGCATTAACTAGTCTTGTCATAACCTTGGCAACTTTCCTGATCTCTCCATGCTGTACTTAAGAGGGGCTCTACAGCATAGCTGCCAAAGAACCTCAGATAAGGTTCAGAGGAAAACATTAATTGTTCCTGAGTGTGTGTGGGTGTGGGTGTGGGTGTGTGTGGAGGGATTGGGAGGGGGAGGCTTTTTAAAAGACAATTTCCTCATGAAAAATATTTGGACGCTGGACATTTAGATTCACACAGCACTCTAAGCCAAAATAAAAGAAACCACTTTATGGCATAATATGTGAGGTGAACTCAGCCAATTGTGGTTTAGTCAAATTATATTTAAGCAAAATGTGGCCAAGTGTGTTACGTGAAAGCACAACTTAAAATCACAAACTGGTTTCAACATTGGCAGATTTTTAGTACTAAAACTGTAAAATAATAATGTGGAAGGAAACTGCTTTATTTTAGCCATCATTCGCCAAGACTGAGCCAGGGAACTAGTATTTGGATTCAGCATTGGGTCAGGTAACTTTTTAAGAGAATATGCTTAATAATATCGTTGTACAGTGTTTTCTTTCTTCCCCTCCCCTCATGACTAAATATAGCAGGTCTTATTAATCTAAGGACAAATTATTTCTAGCAGAATATGATGTAACTTTCAAGTGAGATACTAATTTGTTATAAACTTTTGGGGCTGTGATCTAGTGTCATGAACACAGAACTGCAATACAGATTAAGCAAAAAGATGTCATAATATTGGAAAAAAGGAGAAAAATGAATTGAAAATATATAATTGAATATACAGTATATAATTAATATACATTGAATAAGCATTGCCTAGAAACTGAAGGACAGGAACACATCTAAATATATCAAACAATCAGAGTTAGGACTGTATAGTTTACATAAGTAAGTTCTGACCTATTTTGACAGATGTGTTTTCCTCAGTTCTTTCAAACTTAATTAAATATATTCAGAATGAATTTAGAATATGAATATTTTAATATTCAGGTCAAAGGAAATGTAATGATACAGAAACAAATATCTCACAAAATTCTGTTCACTACATAAGAGGAATCAAAAGCAAGAATTAAAAGCATTTCTTTCTCATGCAGTTCATATTGAAACAAGTCTGATTGTATTTTGATTGGCAAGGAAGGAATTAACTTTAACTTTCCTGCCAGTTTTATCCAATAAGTTTCTGTAGCCAAGGTAACAAATTGGGATGGGTGGAGAGGAAATGTTGTTTTAAAAAGGGTCAGTTTTAGTCAGAGCTCAGTCTGAGAAGAGGGGAAGAGACCAGCTTCTGGAAAAGAAAAATTGGGATGGTATTAATATTATAATTATAGCTGAGGAGAGCTTATAGCAGTCACATAATCCTGTGTGGTTGCAGCATCCCATGGTCACATGATCACCATTTGTGACCTTCGCTGCTGGCTTCCATCAAACAAAGCCAATGGGGAAGCTGGCAGGAGGTCGCAAATGATAATCACGTGGCCATGGGACACTGTGACCATGCAGGATTCGCCTAACAGCAGCAACTGGGACTCGTAGAACTGCTGTTGTAAGTCGGCGCAGTCGGGTGATATTGTGCCTTACAACCATGTTGCTTAGCAATGGAGTTCCCGGTCCCAATGCCCATCGGTAAGTGAGGACTACCTGTACCTTTTATTAAATTCCTCTTTTGTTTTACTGAACAAAAGTATATAAGGAAGATGATTCAACCTTCATAAATTATTCTGAAATAAGCATACACTATTTGTACAAAACTTTCAAAAGATACAGTACATGTTATAATGGAGCAAGCACTTGTCCCCTCATATATAATGGCAAGCAGGGGGGATTCCTTTATAGTTATATAAAGATCAAGATCTTGGAGCAAGACTGTAGGGGAATGGTTGAGCTGTAGAACAGAAGGCTGAAGATCTCAAACTAGATATTCACCCTTGTGCCTCCTGCTTTCAGGCAGCAACTTGGTAATTCTTGCTTCCCGGAACTCCTCACCTGGGCTCTGCCGTATAACCCTGGTTTGTAGACTAAATAATTAACAGAGCAAAATAATTAAATAGTTGTGCCTCTTGCCTATGTAGTGTATATGGTGTATGACTAGAGGCTTTAGCCCTTCCTTCCCTTCTTTTAGGAGACAGGACAATCTTATCCAAGATAAACAAAATGAATTTTTATTTAAATACACACACTTCATACTTTTAAGTATTAAAATGCAAAACATTCAAGGATGAAGAGGATAAATTGCAGAATTGTCCACATTGCAATGAAACAACTATTTAAAATAAAAACCTACAAAAGAAAATGCAATGCTCTACGCAGATCATGGGATGATGCTGGTCTCCTGAAAATCACTCATTTTTTGCTCCAAAATCGGTTTAAAAGTGGCTGGTTAGATGTTTCAAATTAATATCACAGATTACACGAACATTCTAGAGAAAATTTTATATTTTCATAAGCAGCCTAATAGATAATTAAAAGGCTGAGATGAATTTCATAGTTTATACAGAGAAGTAAAAACATTAGTCCTGCACAACAGAAGAAAAATCTAATATAAAATTCTAGCTAAATGTTTTAACCTTTTTCTTCAAAAACAGCTCACTCTTGAAGAGTCTGTTTCCCTGCTTCAAGCTTCCTGCTTTTTTTTTTTTATGTGGGATTTCAAACTTTAATCTGAGTCTGCTGAGAAATAAAAGAAACCCTGTTCTTCTTCTTCCTTAGCCTCAGTCCACGGCTTTTCCAGAGTTGTAAAGTTTTTCTTTATCTTCAGTAGAGGGAGTTATCTGTCTTTGCATACATGACAGATAGCATGTCTCACTCAGAAGACCATGGATTGGCAATACTGGAATGTAAAATATCGGATCATATGAAGGCAATACATTAGTAAATGCCAACCTTGGATCATATTGAGGATTAAAATTAGTGACATGAATATATTATATACATGACATTAAGCTAATAAATAAAGCAAGTAATAATAATGATAAAAATATTGGTATCAGAAAGTAATGAGATCACTGGATATTATGATCCCCAATGCCTCCAACTTTTTAATCCTGTTAAATAATTCTTTTCCACTGATGCTTGAAACAACCACAGTGAGAAGGGACTGTTTACTGTGATATTGTTATATCTGTTTTGTTTCATTTGTATTGTATTTCCCTACTTTTAATTGTTGGGATTTTTTTTTCCTGCTTGATTAGTTAACTGGCATACAAAGACTTGGCAAAGTTTTTCAGGCTATAAGATGGTAATGAGATTGCCTCACTTGTAAACAGCAGCCACTTAAGACACAATACCCTTGTCAGAAAAAAACTTGGCCCTCCTTTCCCAGATAGATCTGAACTCTAGATTTATGACTTAAAAATTTAATCCTGTCCATGTCATTTTAGTGTAAGGGCAGATAAAATAATAGTCCAAGTTGTCATTTTTTTGAGGGTATGTGTACATTTTTAAACCAGGGTCTAAAATAGGCATAAAAATAGCCATTAGTATCTATTTATTACAATAGATC